TTTGGTTTTTGGAAGGATTTTTTAACTATAAACATATATATCTGGGGCAGAGCCTTTTAATCAAGGCACCATAGATGAATGAGAATTTCTTGTATCTCTGGGAATTTGTCTTGAGAGAGAACTACTTCTCAAAAATCATATTTTGGGATGGACACAGTGGCTCATGTCTGTAATCCCAGCACTTTGGGAGGCTGAGGTGGATGGATCACTTGAGGTCTGAGTTTGAGACATGCCTGGCCAACATCTTTACTAAAAATACAAAAATTAGCTGGGCATGGTGGCAAGCACCTGTAGTCCCAGCTACTCAAGAGGCCGAGGCAGGAGAATCATTTGAACTTGGGAGGTGGTGGTTGCAGTGAGCCAAGATCACACCACTGCACGCCAACCTGGGCAACAGAGTGAGACTCCATCTCAAAAATAAATACATAAATAAAAAATTAAAAATCGTATTTTGAAAGCAACTTAGCACCTCCTAAAATGTTAAGAACCACTGGTTTCAGGGAATTTAAATAAAACCTCAAATCATACCAGTTAAAAATGGAAAGCATATTGTCTACTTGGCTCAATTTCCACTGTTACTTTCCATGAGCATATAAATATATCCTAATGAAAACACTTTCTTTAATTTTAAAAATTCAAAGACCAAGGGGTCTCTTTCAGACCATTCAACTACATCTGATTAAAAAACCAGCTAATGAGAATTTTTCATTATCAGCTTATCAACTTATCAGCTAATGAGAATTTGTAAAACCTTTGCATATCAAATACAGCATTATTAATTTTATACCAACTATGGAACAAAATTTCATATAAACTTGTGTACAGTTCTATTAAAAAATAATTTACCACTTTGGATTTTCTAGTTCTGTAAGCTCTAATGTGCTGACAGATCTTAAAATTGTTATCAGTTTTCACTAATCCTAGGACTCCTCTCCATCTTATTTGGATGTATAGGTGCTACACAGAATGAATAAATTAATAAATAATGAGGCAGAATACTGCATAAAGTATCCCAAATGATATAAAATATAATTTTCTTTCTCTCATCTTTTTTTTTTTTTTTTGAGACGGAGTTTCTTTCTTGTTGTCCAGGCTGGAGTGCAATGGCGCTATCTCGGCTCACCACAACCTCCGCCTCCTGGGTTCAAGCGATTCTCCTGCCTCAGCCTCCTGAGTAGCTGGGATTACAGGCATGTGCCACCATGCCCGGCTAATTTTGTATTTTTAGTAGAGACGGGTTTCTCCATGTTAGGCTGGTCTCGAACTCCTGACCTAAGGTGATCCGCCCAGCTCGGCCTCCTAAAGTGCTGAGATTACAGGCATGAGCCACCACGCCCAGCCTCTCTCATCTTTTTATAATAACAGAAAATGTAAAGGTCACTACAAAATATAAGTACTTGCAAAATTAAAAAAAAAATCAGCAAATTAATTGGCATTAATACCTAGAATCCATATATAAATGAAGCAAATTGAACAGAGCCCCAGAGACCTGTGGGACACCAGCAATTATAGCAACATACACATAAATGGGAGTCCCAGAAGATGAGAGAAAAAGGGCAGGAAAAATATTTGAATAATGACCAAAAATAACTCAAAGATTATAAAACATTAGTTTACATAATGAATTCTAATTGTAACTCAATAAACAACAAGTAGAATAAAGTCAAGAAGATCCACACCTAGATACATCATAATCAAACTGACAAAACTTAAAGAGATAACGTTTATAGCAGCAAGAGAAAAATGACTTTTCACATACATAATGAAATCCTCAGTAAGATTAATGGCTAACCTGTCATCAGAAAACCATGGACGTAAGAAGACAAATGGGATGACATGTTGAAAGAAAAAGACTGTTAGCCAAGAATTCTATATCCAGCAAAACTCTCCTTCAAAAATGAAGAGGAAATTAAGACATTCCTAGATAAACACTGAAAGAATTTGTCATTAGCCAACCTGCCCTACAAGAAATACTAAAGAAATTCCTTTAGGCGGGAAGCTGAGGTGGGCAGATCACGAGGTCAGGAGACAGAGACCATCCTGGCTAACATGGTGAAACCCCATCTCTACAAAAAATACAAAAAATTAGCCAGGTGTGGTGACAGGCACCTGTAGTCGCAGCTACTCAGGAGGCTAAGGCAGGAGAATGGTGTGAACCCAGGAGGTAGAGCTTGCAGCGAGCCTAGATCACACCACTGCACTCCAGCCTGGGCAACAAAGCGAGACTCCATCTCAAAAAAAAAAATTCCTTCAGGCTTTTGAAGAAATAAAAGGACACCATACAGTGTCTCAAATCCACAAAGAGAAATAAAGAGCACATGTAAAGATAAATACACAAGTAAATATAAAAGACAGTATAAATGTATTTTTATTTATAACTCTTACTTTCCTCCTTTACAAGGCCAACTGCATAAAGCAATTACTGCAAAACTGTGTTGGTGAGCACATGATGTGTAGAGGTGTAATTTGTATGACAATATCACAAAAAAGTGGGGAGTGAATACATGTATACTGCGCCAAAATTTTGTATACTATTGAAATTAGGTTAGTATTAAACCAAACTAGACTGTCTCAGAATGCTAACTGTAATCCCCAGGATAGAGAGAGAGAGAGAGAGAAAGAAAGAGAGAAAGAAAGAGAGAGAGAAAGAAAGAGAGGAAGAGAGAGAGAGAGAGAGAAACAGAGAGAGAGAGAAGGAAGGAAAGGAAAGGAAAAGGAAAAGGAAAGGAAGTAAAAAAAAAAAAGTTAAATATAGTTAAAGAAACAAAGGAATGAAAATGGCACCCTAGAAAATACCTATTTAACACAAAAAAAGTAGTGGAAAAGTGGAGGAATAAAAAAGACATAAGTTACAGAAAACAAATGGCAAAATGGCAGTTGTAAAGCCTACCTTACCAGTAATTACATTAAATATAAATGGTCAAACACTCTAATCAAAAAGGCAGAGACTGTAGAAATTATTTTCAAAACATGATCCAACTGCATGCTGTTCACAAGAGACACACTTTAGATTCAAATAGATTAAAAATAAAAGGATGGAAAAGATATATCATACCAAGAGTAACCAAAAGACAGCTGGAGTGGCTACACTAGTATCAGACAAAATTAACACAGAAATTGTGACTAGAGACAAAGGACCTTTTCAGGGCCATCTATAAAGAATATATAACAATTATAAACTTATATACACTTATCAACAGGGTCCTAAAATACATGAAGCAAGAACTTACAGAAATGAAGAGAGAAACAGACAATTCAATAATAGAGACTTCAGTCCCCCTTTAAAATAACAGAACAGACAGAAGATTAACAAGGAAATAGAAAACTTAAACAGCACCATAAACCAACCAGACCTAACAGACCTCTACAGAACACTGTACTTAACGGTAACAGAACACACATTCTTCTTAAGCACACATAAAACATTCTCCAGGACAGACTGTATATTAAGCCACTGTATAAGTCTCAGTAAGTTTAAAAGGATTGAAATCATACAAAACATATTCTCCATTCTGCAATTATAGAGGCAGTAAAAAAGAAAAACTTTAAGAAAAAAAGTATATTCTCTAAACACACTGGAATAAAATTAGAAATTAATAACAAGGAAATCTGGGAAAGTCACAAATAGGTAGAAATTAACACATTCCTAAATAACTAATGGATCAAAAGAAAAATCACTTAGGAAATTAGAAAATATTTTGAGCCAGGTGTAGTGGTGCACACCTGTAATCCCAGCACTTTGGGAACCAAGTGGGTGGGCTGCTTAAGCTCAGGTGTTCGAGACCAGCCTGGGCAACATGGTGAAATCCCATCTCTACTAAAAATACAAAAATTAGTAGGTGTCGTGGCACACGTCTGTAGTTGCAGCTACTTAGGAGGCTGAGGTGGGAGGATGGCTTGCACCTAGGAGGCAGAGGTTGCAGTGAGCTAAGATCACGCCACTTCACTCCACTCCAGCCTGGGTGACAGAACCAAATGCCGTCTCAAAAAAAAAAGAAGAAAAAGAAAGGAAAACATAATGTATCAAAATTTATTGGTTCAAGCAAAAACTTATACATAGAACTGTTCATAACAGCTCTATTCACAATAGCCAAATGATGGAAATAATTTAAATGTCCATCAACTGGTAAGTGGATAAACAAATGTGGTATATCCATACAATGGAATAATTCATCCATAAAAAGGAATGAAGTATTGACACAGACGACATTTATGATCCTTGAAAACATTATGCTAACTGAAAGAACCCAGAAACAAAAGCCCACATATTTCATAATTTCATTTATATGCAGATACCAGAATAGGCAAATCCAGAGACAGAAAGCAGACTGGTAGTTATCAGGGGCTGTAAAGAGAGGGGAACGGGGTGTGAGTGCTAAATGCCAATGGGGATTCCATTTGGGGTGATCGAAAAGTTACAGAATTAAAGAGTGGTGATGGGTTGTACAGCATGGCGAATGTACTTTGTGCTACTGAATTGTACACTTTAAAATGGTTTAAATGGTAAATATATATTAAGTGTATTTTATTACAATGAAAAAACTTTGAAAAACAGTATTTGCATGAAAGAAAATAATGTTAAGAGGCCGGGCGTGGTGGCTCACGCCTGTAATCCCAGCACTTTGGGAGGCCGAGGCGGGCGGATCACAAGGTCAGGAGATCGAGACCATGGTGAAACCCCGTCTCTACTAAAAATACAAAAAATCAGCCGGGCGCGGTGGTGGGCACCTGTAGTTCCAGCTACTCGGGAGGCTGAGGCAGGAGAATGGCGTGAACCCAGGAGGCGGAGGTTGCAGTGAGCCAAGATCGCGCCACTGCACTCCAGCTTGGGCAACAAAAGTGAAACCCCGTGTAAAAAAAAAAAAAAAAAGAAAATAATGTTAAGAAAACCATAAAAGTTAAATATTTTACACAGACACTCAGAATCTAAATGAGAAAACCATGATTTCTGCAGAATAGCATAAATATAAAAGCTGCCAATATGTAATTATGTTCCATACCTGTATGTGAGGCCAAGAGGCCTCAAGCGTGGGTTCATCCTCTTCTGGATCAAAATCCGGATTATCACTTGGAGGAAGTGTACGGAAGATGTTAGCACTGATCTGTAATGAAAAAATAATTTTATGTTCTTTGTTGTATGTGTAAATGAATTCGACAATTCAAAATGAAATATTTTAAAGATCACTTTAAGAAAAAAGTTATAGCTGTAAGCTTAGTTCAAAATCTATAAACCTCTCCAAGATACAAAGAAGGCAGGTGTTTGTTTCTCTCTTTTCTCTTATCCAATAACTTTGACTTCCTCAGACCTAAGCTCCTGAAGATTAGATATAGCCTCTGGATTAATCTTCTTTAAATCATAAATTTTTCTTTCCGAATTTTACTCAAAAAGAAAGAGGGGGCCAGGCGAAGTGGTTCACACCTGTAATCTCAGCACTTTGGGAGGCCGAGGGGGCAGATTGTCTGAGGTTAGGAGTTCAAGACCAGCCTGGGCAACATGGTGAAACCCCATCTCTACAAAAACATAAAAATTAGCCAGGCGTCATGGTGCATACTTGTGGTCCCAACTACTGGGGAGACTGAGGCAGGAGAATTGCTTGAGCCCAGAGGCGGAGGTTGCAGTGAGCCAAGATCGTACCACTGCACTCCAACCTGGGTGACAGAGCCAGAGCCAGACCCTGTCTCCAAAAAAAAAAAAAAAAAAAAAGACAGAAGGGAAAGGGAGAATATAGAGGAAGGGAGTAAAGGGAATTCGAGGGAAAAAGTTATTAATTCTACTTATCTTTAATTTGATTCATTTCATCTTTCTACAATTCCTCCCATATTCCAACCTGGCCATATTCTATACTTGCCTTATAACTCAGAGTTTGGTAAAATATCTCCATTCTTATACATACCACACTAAGGGAGAGGTGGGCGAGGGTAGAATGCCTTCACTATTATTACAAATGTGTTTATAATACTTCTTGATGATTTAATTTACTGTATTTCATCTCATCTACTTTGAGACTTTTAAAAAACATATTAACCACCTTGAAATCAGGATGTTCTTCATTTTAGATCCAGTGAAATACAGTATTTATAATCTCATGCTTTGCATTATCTTAGTACTAAGGTAATATATATCCTTTTTCTCTAGCAAAGGATAGACTGTGATCTCAATCTACAATTTTTTAAAGAATAATGAACAGACTGATAGACCAAGTAGTTTAATAAATATTTAAGGCCCAACTACTAAGGGGCTGATCATTTTGAGATAAACTATTCCAGAGGTAGAGGATAAGACAAGAAATTGCAAGCAAATTCCCAACTATTCTTATGAAGTTGCATCTTTGGTACACAAATTACTGCTAATAGTCAATTACTATAACCATAAGACTTAATAAGAATAACCTAAAATTTCATCAGCCAGAACTCAAAGCCAGTACTTGAGGGCAAAGCGAATAAACAGTTTGATGGACATCAATTTCACAAAGAGTAGCAGCAAGCCATCGATAAAATTTGAAAACAAATATATCTCACAAGAGCATAGAATTTGTCCTTGAGATCACACTTATTATTGTCAGTAGTAAAAGAAAAAGTTAACCTTGTAGCTACTAATAAAATTAACTGTATATAACAAATATTCAGAAGAGCTTCAAGAGTCTAAATGGGTAAGATGACTCAAGTATTACTTAGGTATTAAATTAAGTACTCATAAATTTTTAAGAAACCAACAATATATACCTACTATGTGCATACAGAAATCAAAATAAATTTAAGAAAGCAACAACAAATACACACCTTTTTACTTGGGCAAAGAAATTAAATTCCATAATTTATTAGTATATAGCAAATTTGACTCAAATATTTGAGACTTTCAATATCTGTCAACAATTTTAGAGATTAATTCCCGACTCTAAAAATTCTTGAATATAAGCCATTTGAAATCAGTAACAGTAGGAAATACTGCTTTTTCTCCCTGAACTTTTTAAATGATTAAAAAACCAAAAAAAACCTTGAAGAAGTCCACCAGTAATTAATATTTATGTTCTCAAACTATCACTTCCTTTTATTGTCTGTGGGAGTTTAAGCCAATTTCATTTTGATTAATGTTCTCTCTATAGCCAATCTTTAAATTTTTTTGAGGCTAGACATGGTGGCCCATGCATGTAAAACCAGCACTCTGGGAGGCCGAGACAGGAGGACTGCTTGAGGTCAGGAGTTTGAGACCAGCCTGGGCAATAAGCAAGGCTCCACCTCTAAAAAAAAAGAAAATGAAAAAATTAATCGGGCAAGGTGGTGCATGCTTGTAGTTCTACCTACTCAGGAGGCTTAGGCAGGAGGATAGCTTGTGCCCAGGAGGCCAAGGCTGCGGTGAGCTATGATTACGCCACTGCACTCCAGCCTGGGAAAAGAGACAGACTCTTATTTTTTTTTCTTTTTTTTGAGACAGGGTCTCATTCTGTCGCCCAGCCTGGAGTGCAGTGGCACAATCTTGGCTCACTGCAATCTCCGCCTCCCAGGTTCTTCAAGCAATTTTCTGGCCTCAGCCTCCCAAGCAGTTGGGATTACAGGCATCCACCACCACACCTGGCTAATTTTTGTATTTTTAGCAGAGACGGGGTTTCACCATGTTGGCCAGACTGTTCTTAAACTCCTGACCTCAGGTGATCCACCCGCCTTGGCCTCCCAAAGTGCGGGGGTTACAGGCGTGAGCCACTGTGCCCAGCCAACTCTGTCTCAAAAAAAAAAAAAAAAAAAAAAAAAAATTGAAGGCTTTTATTCTCTTTAAAGAAAAAAAAAAAAACAACTCTGTAACAATCGAAATTTCCTAATTCCTTTTGAGAGGTCTTCTACTACAGAGTGATGAAAGAAAACCCAACTACTATATTAGGGCCAAACTTATCTTTCCTACTACACATTTGGTTCTTCCCTGAGAACATATATTGGGCAAGGGGAAAGAAATGAAGGCAACTGTAGGTTATATTTATATTTGCTTTTAGCTTCAATACTCTGATATAAGTTTAAATTATATACTCAGTGACAATCTAATTAGTCCAACTGGATTTATTTATTTATTTTGAGACAAGGTGTTGCTCTGTCAAACCAGGCTGAAATGCAGTGGTGATCATGGCTCACTTCAGTCTTGAACTCCTGGGCTCAAGCGATCCTCTCACCTCAGCCTCCTGAGTAGCTGGACCTAAAGGCTCATGCCACCATGCCTGGCTAATTTTTTTATTTTTATTTTTAGTACTTTTTGTAGAGATGGGTCCTTGCTATGCTGCCCAGGCTGGTCTTGAACTCTTGGCGTCAAGTGTTTCTCCCACCTCAGCCTCCCAAAGTGCTGCGTTTACAAGCATAAGCGAGCCACTGCACTGGACTAAATGTTTGTATTTTGTTAGTATACAATAAAATACAAAAAAAAAAAAAAACAACTCACAAATACTAAACAAAATCCTACTGTTTGATAGAAAATAAGGTTGAATTACTAATAAACAGCAAGCATCCTAAACAATCTTACTTCAATAAAGTTGGCTGTAGTTTTTTTTCACATCAGATATTCCATTTATTTATCTTCTTAAAGATCCTGACTTTCAATTAAAGTGTTATACCTGACTCCCTTACCCACTACTTAAATGTGGAGATCCCTAGTCTTTCATTGGTCTTCCCTTTCCCCTTTAAAAGTTCTCAGTAATGGCCGGGTACAGTGGCTCACGCCTAAAATCCCAGCATTTTCGGAGGCCGAGGCGGGTGGATCACGATGTCAGGAGTTCAAGACCAGCCTGGCCAAGATGGTGAAACCCCATCTCTACTGAAAATACAAAAATTGGCCAGGCATGGTGGTGGTGGGCACCTGTAATCCCAGCTACTCAGGAGGCTGAGGCAGAGAATTGCTTGAACCCGGGAGGCAGAGGTTGCAGTGAGCCGAGACTGCACCACTGCACTCCAGCCTGGGCTACAGAGTGAGACTCCGTCTCAAAACATAAATAAATAAATAAATAAATAAAAATAAAAGTTCTCAGTAACTATTCACCTCCATGACGTTAATTACCTATCGATCTGTATAATCCCAGGCCTAAATCCTTCTCTTAAGCTCTAGATCTGCACTATCCAATATGGGAGCCACCAGCCACTGTGACTCTCTCAATTCCCAAACTTGTATATGCAATGATGGTATCATCGGAATGGATGGGATAATCTTTCAAATGAACTATTTTTTAAAATTTGGGGGATGTATTGTACATTTATTTAAAATCAGTCTCATTAATCCATTATTATACCTCAGATCTTAAATTTACATACATCTGAGGAACATAAGTCTAGAGGCTTACCATTTTTACTATATCAGAATACGCTGATTCAACAATTACACCACGATTAGTTGAAACATACTCAACCAGTTCATTCAGTGTTGCTCTTTTAATTTCTTTGCTCTTCAAGTCTGAAACAGAGTCCATGAAATCAAACAGTATACAACACTGCTGCAACTTCTGACAGAAAAGATCTTGTTGTTCATTTGAAGTGGCATCTATAAATAAAAATAAAGAAAAACTTAGAAATAACCTACTCAGAAGTTACTTTTATATATTTATTAATTTTGTAGAAGCTATTCACATATGTAAAACTTCTTCCAAAAATCTAGTGAGAAATGTGCCCATCTAACCCCATCATTCAGGGATTCATACTGGACCCTTCTCTCTCTCTCATTACTCACAAGCAATCATTAAAAAAATTGTTTTAAAGAAATGTGGTCTTGCTACGTTGCCCAAGATAGACTCAAACTCCTGGGCTCATGTGATCCTCCTGCCTCAGCCTCCAGAGTAGTGGAAATTATGTGCCACCATGCCCAACTAATCATTAAATGTTATTGATTCAACGTCTTTAACATATTTGAAATCTATCCTTGTCACTCCCATTGTCATTTCAGACTCTCACCATGCCTCATCTGGACTACAGCAATGATATTCTAATTGCTCCTCTTATCCCATAATCATTACCACTCCTGACATACCCTCCAAACTACTTCAAAGTGAGAGTCGGTGTGCTCAAGTTCCATGTTTTTCAATGATACTCCAATAATTAAATAATAAAGTTCAAACTCCTCTGGGCTGTATACAAAGTGCAGCTGTCTACTGTCAAGAGTCATCTCTTAACCTTTCCAACATGCCTTTTCATTTTCGTTAAACCATACTCTATGCAGTTCCCCGAAGGTTACACAATGTTTCCTCTGTCTGGAATGCCCTTCTTCCCACATTCCCACCCCAGGAACACTACCTACTTATAAAGTTTCAGCATAAGTCCCTTCTTTTTTTTTTTAATTTTTATTTTTTTGAAACAAAGTCTTGCTCTGTCGCCCAGGCTGGAGTAGTTTTCAGAAGCTTTCCTTATGGTACTGAAGCTAAATTGGTTGGTTTATCCACTTTTACCCAAATATGTTTTAGGTGCATATCCCTATTATAGTATTTACTGTGCTTTAGAGCAATTATATTTTACATATTCAGCACCCCTCAACTAAAAGCAGGAACCAACAGCCAGGCACAGTGGCTCACACCTATGTAATCCCAGCACTTTGGGAGGCCAAGGCAGACAGATCACTTGAAGTCAGGAGTTCGAGACCAGCCTTGCTAATATGGCAAAACACTGTCTTTACTAAAAATACAAAAATTATCAGGGCGTGGTGGCGCGTGCCTGTAATCCCAGCTACTCCGGAGGCTGAGGTAAGAGAATCACTTGAACCCGGGAGGCTGGGGTTGCAGCGAGCCGAGATCGCACCACTGCATTCCAGTCTGGGCAACAGAGACGACGTCTCAATCAATCAATGCAGAAACCAAGTTTTATTTATCTAATTATTTCTGTCTTTCTATCTCTCTACTTCTCTTTATCTTTCTAGTATCTAATACAATACCTGGCATATAATAGGTACTCAAAAAATGGGCCGGTGTGGTGGCTCATGCCTGTAATCCCAGCACGTTGGAAGGCTGAGGCAGGCGGATGACTTGAGGTCCAGGAGTTCAAGACCAGCCTGGGCAAATGGTGAAACCCCATCTCTACTAAAAATACAAAAATGAGCTGAATGTGGTGGGGGGCACCTGTAATCCCAACTACTGGGAAGGCAGAGGCAGGACAATCACTGGAACGCGGGAGGTAGGGGTTGCAGTGAGCCGAGATAGTGCCACCGCACTCCAGCCTGGGCCACAGAGTGAGACTCAAGTCTTGATTTAAAAAAGCTTATTGTTTTATATTCTACTTATTACAAAAATACGGACACATCGTATCGATTTGATTCTAACAAATGTTAAATCCTTTTGTATCTAACCTTCAAAACCATAAAACTTCAATTCTGAACTTCCATATCTATAAACAAGGACTTCAATTAGCTCAATCACTTAAGATTATTGAACTTCTGAGAGTAAAATTTAAAAATTCAACTCTGATATTTAGCTCATAATATACAAAACTATTCTTCCATTCAAAACCAGTACATGCTTTATATAAAGATACAGGCAAAAATCTTCGTAAAGATGGTAACCTAATCAAGAATGCCTATGCTTTGTAATTAACTCCAGGGCAGGAAGCTAAAAGGTAAAATTACCTTTCAATTATATTCAAGTTGCTGTCCTTAAAAAAGCTGATTTAGATAAGGTACTGCTGAACCGTAGTAGGTCAGGTATTCTAAGCATGTTCACACAAAGTCACAAGACATAAGGCACATTCTTTTCATTGGTCAATTATTATTAAATAATTTTACAATAAAACAAATGTGGATATATTATAAAGAACAGCAAAAGTCACATGATTTTTTAAGTAAAAATATGAAGACTTGAATTTGCTGCAGTTCATTTGTGGCTATGCCAGTAAAATAAGATAGCTCCACACTTACAAAGAACTTATATTTAACACTTCCTGTTCCAAAATCAATAATGACTTTCTGCTTTATGAAGCTAAAGTCTATAATCCTAAGATTGGCATTCAGAGTCCACGTAATATTGACATATATGACATTTTTCACTACCAATTTGGTAGTTTTTGATTCAGGGTCACTTTTTTTTTTTTGAGACGGAGTCTCACTGTGTTGCCCAGGCTAGAGTGTGGTGGTGTGATCTCGGCTCACTGCAACCCCTGCCTCCTCCCAGGTTCATGTAATTCTCCTGCCTAAGCCTCCCAAGTAGCTGGGATTACAGGCCTGCACCACCACGCCCAGCTAATTTTTGTATTTTCTTTTAGTAGAGATGAAGTTTCACCATGTTGGCCAGCCTGGTCTCAAACTCCTGACCTTGAATGGTCTGCCTGCCTCGGCCTCCCAAAGTGCTGGGATTACAGGTGTGAGCCACCACATCCTGATTCAGGATCACCTTTTATGAAACTGTTCTTAGGTGGGAATATTTTGATTTTTGATTAAAAAATATTTGATTTAAAAAAATTAAATTTGCAGCTATTTTTAATACGAAGTAATATGTCAAACAGTTGTCTTTATCCCAGAATTAAAATTAATTCTATTGGGGGTGAAAATGAAGCATGAGCCAACATACATGCTACATATAACCAGCAGTCTTATGTTTACTACCTTTTTTTATCCCAAAATGGCCATTAGTCATTCTAAGCAGAATCTGCTGCTTCTCTGTAAAATCAGTTGTTTCTTGAATGGCCCTTTTCTTAAATCTTCTGGGGCTTTTTACCCTTAAAGTTAAAATGGTTATGTGCATTTAATTTCCATTAATAAATGATGTCTCCTAATACTTAATTTATTTCAACTAACAAAAAGATGTCTGCTTGATATTACCACTTAGTTTGAAAACTAGAGATGGACACCTCTGCTTATGTATGTACTACACACTAAATGAGATACATGTTGACTATGTGGGCTATAAGAATCCTTCTCGATCCATAGTGTACAGGAAATCCCTATAGTTTTGTCAGTTATTCAGTAGTATCTTTATAGTTATCTATTTTCAAAGATATCTATATCCTTAATATATGGCTTTATTTTATAATACATATCTTTATAATTAATATAAATTCCATAATGATGACTTGGTGAAATAGTTGCCATACCTTGAGAGGCTGCATTCTAACAGAGTTTTAAGATATATTTTAACTCTTTCTCCCTAACGCTAATAGTAATACAAACTCACACAAGATCCCACTTCAATTATGTGAATACCTTATATAGCCAGTCCTCTTCTCTCCTTCCTCCCACTACCACCTCCTCAATGTGAAACCAGCTCTCTTAATCTCTAAAGGCCGTGTGTTTGTTCAAAGTCTTTTCCCTACCTGAAATACTTCACTAGATTTCCTCCCCTATCTTTCCATATCCTACTTGCCCTTTAAGAACAAACTTAAATCTCACATTCTCCACAAAATTTCCCTTAGGTAGGTCAGGATATAATGATCTCTCCCACCTCTCATGATCTATAGTGTTCACAACCTCAATTATGTATTTGAGTACCCATTATCTTTAGGCCTATATTCAACAGATGTTTCTTTCATCAACCACCAAAAGATTTCAGGCTCCTCAAGGGGAAGGATTATTCACTGAGCAGGGTTTCCTTTTTATTTCTTTTTTATCTAGGATAGGGTATATAAGGAGTTAATAAATACTTACTTGATGCTTCAAAAAACTCTCTGAATTTAAAGAATAAAGATACTGCACTGAAAAACAGTCTACTGAACAAGGAGAAGTTCAAAATTGGTGCTGGCTATTAACAGTGACATAAATAATGAATTACTACAACATGCCTATGTTTAAGAATTAATAATGCCACGTGCGGTCGTGCCTGTAATCCCAGCACTTTGGGAGGCCTAGGCGGGCAGATCACAAGGTCAGAAGATCAAGACCATCCTGGCTAACATGGTGAAACCCCGTCTCTACTAAAAATACAAAATATTAGCCAGGCATGGTGTTGGGTGCCTGTAATCCCAGCTACTTGGGAGGCTGAGGCAGGAGAATGGCATGAACCTGGGATGCAGAGCTTGCAGTGAGCCAAGACTGCACCACTGCACTCCAGCCTGGGTAACAAAGCGAGACTATGTTTAAAAAAAAAAAAAAAAAAGAATCGTAATGACCATTTTTATGAACAATCTACCTTGATGGTAGAATTAAATGGATTCAGATAACAATCATGAACATGAGTGCATATATTTCAAGGTGAAATACAAATGGAAAGTCTGTTTTTCTAACACTACAGGCTAAGTAGCCTGTGGCTAGCACAAAAAAAGACACAAAATAACTTTCAGGATTGGAAAATACAGTCATGCACCACATAACAAAGTTTTGTCAACAACAGACTGCATATGTAATGGCGGTCCCATATAAACCGTATTTTTACTGTACTTTTTCTTGTTTAGATACACATATACTTACTTTTCAAATTGCCTACAGTATTCAAACAGTAACATGCTGTGCAGGTTTGTACACAGCCTAGATGTGTAGTAAGCTATACCATTTAAGTTTGTGGAAGTATACTCTATGATGTTTGCACAATGACAAAACTGTCTAATAATGAATTTCTCAGTACATAGCCCCATCAT